GATCCTTACCTCAAACTATATGCAAAAAATTCATTCAAGATAGTGAAAGAAAGTGAGCTGAGATGCCTGGTACTGTTCAATCTTTACTAAAGAAAGAAATCTGCTGGGCTGTACTCAAAATGGAGGACAGCCCGGGGCTGCCCTGAAAATGGGGGACAGCAGCTAACATATATTGGTATATTGGCACCAAGAGATGGGTGATGTAATTCCAGGGTGGAGATTGAGTTATGTCATGGGGATGGAGAGTTCTGTGCATGCAGAAATGCCGAAAGTTTCATTTTTCTCTGAAACCATGAGGCTTCTTGTAAAAGAGAATGGGTGATGGAGCTTGGATGTGTTGTCCCCTCCAAAACTCATGAGGAAATTTGATCTCCAATGTGGCAGTGTTGGAAACTGATTGAGTCATGGGGGCAGATCCCTCATGCATGGATTAATGCTCTCCCTGGGGGAAGGGGGATTGATGAGTGAGTTCTCGCTCGATTAGTTCCTGTGAGAGCTCATTGCTTAAAAAGACCCTGGCACCTTGGCACCTTCTCTCTCTCTCTTGCTTCCTCTTACCATGTGATCTACTCATACCTGCCACTTTCTGCCATGAGTAGAAGCAGCCTGAGGCCCGTGCCAGATGCAGCTGTCCCAGAATCGTAAGCCAAATAAACCTCTTTCCTTTATAAATTACCTAGTCTCAAGTATTCTGTTATAGTAACACAAATGGACTAAAACAATGGGGGAGGGGAGGTGAGGAGGTGGATGGCGCCATTTTGTACTTGGGCTTGTGTAAAATGGTGCTGGTTATGTTGCAGATCTATTAGATGACAGAGCTAAACATAAAAGCTAAAACTATTAGAATTTTAGGCAAAAATATGGGGGAATATCTTCGTGATCTCAGTGTAGGCAGATTTCTTAGAACCCAGAAGAAAAAAAATTGATAAATTAGACTTTATCAAAATTTAAAATTTCTGCTTATCAAGAGGTTGGAAGGAAATATTCATGAAATATATTATTTGGCAAAGGACTTGTATCCAGAATATCTAAATCTCCTGTAACTCAATATTAAAAAGCAAAAAAGCCCAAAAAACAAAAAAACAAAAAAACACACAAGAAAACATAGATAAAAAAATTTAAAAAGACACTTTGCAAAAGAAAATATACAAATGACCATCAAGTAACATGAAAACACACTTAACACCATAAATCATCAGGGAGATGCATAAAAACCACAATGAGATACCACTATAACGATTAGTATAGCTAAAATCTGAAAGACAGGCAACATCAAATGTTGATAAGGATGTGGACCAACTAAGACTCTTACATATTGCTGTGAGAATGTAAAATGGTACAGCCACCTTAAAAAAAAGTGTGCTGGTCTAATAGAACTAAATATGCATCTACCGTTTGACCCAGCAATTCCATGCCTAGGTATTTCTCCAAAAGAAATGAAAATATATCTACAAAAGAGATGTACAAGAATGTTCACAACAGCATTACTCATAACATCCCAGAATAGAAAACAACACAAATGTCTATCGACTAGTGAATAGATTAACAAATTATGGTTTGTTCATACAGTGGAATACTACTAAGCAATAAAAAGGATGAATTACTGTACTGATACATGAAACGGCATGGATTGACCTCTCCAACATTATGCTCAAAGAAAGAAGACAGAGTACATATTACATGATTCCATTTATATGATTGTCTAGATCTAAGAAACTAAGAGGAAAGAAATCAGAATAGTGATTGACTGGTTGTGGAGGGTGGGATGACTAGGAAGACAAGCAAGGGAACTCTGAGGGGTGAGGGAAATGTTCTTTATCCTGATTGGGGTGTGGATTATAGAGGATGTTCCTTTGTCAAAACCCATTGAACTGTACCCTTATGATTTGTTCATTTCAACATACAGAAAATGGATTTCTCTCAAAGAAAAGAAAGTTAATTAAAAAAAAGAAAAAAAAAATGTGACCAAGGGAGGGGCCCTGAAGCTCACTTAAAGCTTCATTAGTTACATGGTAAATCTGTCTCTGCCCCCACCTCACATTCTGTCCCCCCACCCACTTAGTAGTTGTTTGATCATGGACAAGTTGTTTAATATCTCAATGCCTTGAATCCTGCATCTGTAAAATGGGAATAATTGTGAAGCCCATCTCACTGGATGGTGAATAAATTACATAAGATAACTTAGAACACTAACTGGAACATAGCAAGTCCTCAACAAATATAGGCTATTATTATCTTGCAGACACAGTTTTCAAAGGAAAACTGTTTGGGAAATTCTGCTAAGGGCCATGAAGAGTCTATTAAAGCATCCTGAGCAAAGGAGGGACATGGACAAATTTGCCTTTTAGAAATAATCACTGAAGCAGCAGTGGGGAGAGTATGAATTGGTGGGGTAAGAAATGGATTGGGAGTCCTATTGGGACTGTCCTAACATGAAAATGAATGAGACATTATTGATCCAAAGGATTAAAAAATATATTTGTATTCAAAGTATACTGAATTTAAATGTTTTAATACAATTTTAAACAAAAGTAGAAGTAAACATTTAAAAGTTTTTCACTCTTAAAAATATTAAATTCAGGGCCAGCCCGGTGGCGCACTGCTACAGTGTGCCGCTTGGGAAGTGTGGCGGCGCTCCCGCAGAGGGTTCAGATCCCACGTGCAGACTGGCGGCTCACTGGCTGAGCGAGGAATGGGGGCAACACCGAGGGTTGCGATCCCGTTGCCGGTCCCGGTCCGGTACGGGCGCGACACTGAGGGTTGCGATCCGTTGCCGGTCACGAAAAAAGACAAAAAGACAAAAAATATATATATATATTAAATTCAAAATTATCTATTAAAATAAAAGCCACATAAAAACTATAACAAAAATCAAATCTTGAAATTAAAGTTTTAAAAATGTGAATTGTTTAATATTGCAGAAGTGCTGCTTTTGCTAAACTGTACTCTTCAGAACCACAAACTGGAATAGGAAGAGAAGGAACACGGGCTTTCATGCCACTAGGAAAGGAGAGAAGAAGAGTTCATATGGCGAGCCTGTCTGCTGCTGTATACTCCTGGGATGGAATTGCGGGTCACAAGATGTGCGCAGTCAGCTTCAGTAGATACTGCGAAACAGTTCCCCAAAGTGGCTGCACCAGTGGACGCTCCCCTTAGCAGTGTAGTAGAGTCCAGGGTATCACTTAGCACGTTCCATCTTCCTCATTTGAGGCATTTTTGTGGATGTACTTTTTTTTTTTAAATAACCAATACATTAGTTTCTCCCTCAGGCTGGAGGCCATCTCTGGATGGTCGGTCTCTCTACTACCAGAGGCAGGTGGGCCGAGGCAACGCCAAGCAGAGGGGCTTACCCTGGCACCAGGATTCTCATCTTCACACCCCTGCCTTATCATGTCTCCCAGCCTTCCCTCATCTCTTCCACTGTTACCTCTCGCCTTCCCTCATCTCCACTCGTCCTAATCCCGCCTGCCCTGCAAAGAAAGGCAGATGAGAATTTACCTTCTCCAACAAGCCTTTGGTAACCCTAATCCCTCGCTCCTCCTCCCCTTTTCCCCAGCTTTTGTCTTGACATTATTGGCAGGCCATGAATGTGTGACCCGGGGCAAATCACTAACCACTGTGGGCTTGTTTCTCATCTGAGGAACATCAGCAACATTAGTCTAAGTCTCTACCCGATTCGATGCCTTACGACCCCTTAAAAGCGCAAGGGGCGAAAGAACAGAAACGGGAGAGTGTTGAAGAGGTCAGCCAGGGGAGTATCAGTGCTCGTGTACAAGCCTATGCCGGGAAGGTCCTGGTGCGTCTCGGTCAGCAGGTCTCGGACGGCGCCGTGTCTTTGTTGGGGTGGCCCGACGCATTTCTGAGCGTAGCCTCCCCAGAGTCCATCGTGCAGAAAGCCCGCTGCCGGCTCCTTCCGGGTTTTGTGTCGAATCTGCGGGCGGCGAGCGGCGCCGGGCGCGGGGCGGGGACTGTGCGGCTGCGCGCGCGCCGCGGC